CAAAATTAAAAAAAATATATTTTTTAAAAATATTTACTCAAAAAAAAAAAAAAAAACAGAATATAGAAAATAGAAGAAAAAAAAAATCACAAAGAAAAAAAAATGTTTCCCTTGAAAAGGGTCAAATATTCACATATATTATTTGGGCTGGCTGATTACTAACATGTGCATATTCTAACATCCAAAACTCAAAAAAATTCCCCAGCAGAATTACACCACAAAAAGCTACTAATATTCCAGTTGCTGACTAATAATATCAGTAATTTAGAAGTTGTGCTGTTCCTGGGTATGTATTAGCACCTGTGGCATTGCAAAATCCTTCTAAAGCATCCTAACATTGTGTAAAGAGTGGCTGAAGTGTATTTTTAACAAGGTCCCTGATCTTTTCAGTCCAGCCTGAACAGTTTGTGCAGCACAGTTCAGCCATGAATGTTTAGTGATTCGGTCACAATGCAGGCCTTGCAAGGAGATTGAATGATTGTGGCAACTACATTGGACCCCACAGAAAACCCTAACAAAAACATGCAGCACTTGAAAAGTAGCAAGCTAGAACTTTCAGATTCTGGATCACAACAATTATGGTAATATAATATAGAGGGGGGGAAAAATTTCCAAAATTCACATGCAATAACTGTGATGGCTGGTGCAGGGGAACTGGGGTAGGAAGCAGAAGTGGTGGGTGGTGTTGTTAAAAGTTTCTGGCAATAAGTGGTGGCCCAGCTTGATCAGCATAAAACCCCTTAAGCACCCAGGCACTTCCATCTGCTTCATATGCGGAGGAGTTTTAATATCATGGCTGATCTTATTAGAGGTGAGGCATGACATCTCCATCTCTATTCAGAGCAGCTCCAGTGCAGTCATATTACAACACACAGCAGTTACCTCACTGCACTCAGCTGCCCGTCAATCTCCTCACACATCATGTCATATGCTAACTGCTCAAATCATAATGTGTCACACTTCAGCAAGCAAGCCTACGGACCTAGGAGACCAAGCTTTAATTGAACATCCACATTGCCCGAACCCATTTGCAAAAATAAGGCCAATTTTCCTTATGGTCACAAATTCAGAAGAGATGAAAGGTGAATTTAAACTACATCCATTTATTTCACACTGTAACGTAGTTTGTAGATCGGGAAGAAGGAGGCAGGAACCGGCGAACGTTCAAATACTTTAATCAAATAAAATAACCACAAAATGAAAATAAAGCGGCAGCCCCTCGCGGACGACTGCCGCACACAAAACACAAAATAAACTCCAGGCCTGGTCCTCTCTCGTCTTTCACTGTCGTCACTCCTCCTTTGTATCCTTCCGGAGCTCCTCCGTGAGACTCGAGACCGGTGAGTGGTGCAGGTGCCGCTCATTATCAATTACTCCACCGGCCTCACTCTGTTCCCACGGCTCTCGGCCCCGCCCTTCTCGTCACACACACCTAATACAATATAATAAAATATAATGCCAGTATCGGCTGCTCTTGTTAGGGGTCGCCACAGTAGATCATCTGCATACTGTATATACAACTGGACCAAACCAAAACAAAACAATAAGGGGACACCCATAAGGGGTCACTACAGTGGATCATTTGCAGAGTGTATTTGGCATGGAAATAAAATAAAATAAAATAAAAATTGCATTATACCATACGACTTTATACTTTACATATATTTGCCATTTATATGTTGATTGTAAAAATGTTTTATTTAATCTTCATAGCAACTACTGAATGGTCAAAAGAGGCTTTGTATAACCAGCATCTTGTAGTTACAGCATCTACCAAGCAGGGGCTAACTGGACTAACCAGCAAAACCCCTTGGTTTAAACTACTAAAACTTTGTAGTAAACTAGTTAGAAAGCCATTTCGGGACATCAGCACACCAGTATCGCATGTTATGGACAAATGTGGTTAAAAGTTGTGCACCACCAACATTAATGCCATTTCGCTGTAGACATGATATATGGAGTTTATAGCCAGAGAGAAACCAGCAGCACATCACCATCTTTCATGCAGGGCCAAAGTTAATCTTGTGGCACATAATATTATTTGAGTGTTTAAAAAACAAGACTGAATTCATGCAATCCACTGAGATGCACCAGGGGCTAATTTACAGTTTCACCATTGGATGAGGCAATCAATAACAAATTATTAGCTTGGTTATGTTGCAAATTACCATGATGCCTTCTCAATTATCCCTCTTGCAACAGCGGGTAACTAATTAGGCAAATGAACATGGCAACTGGCTTGCTATACAGTCGACCATCTGCATGAGACAGGACTATTCACAACACTTACCATCTCTAGATTGAACTAAATTCTTGTTGACTTGAGCATGTGCAAGTGCAAAGGCAATGATCTAGAATGCAAACGCTACAGAAAAACGCACATCCTTTTGGTATCCTGTAGCACTTGGGTCAAGACTGCTCATTAGGGTTTATGTAATAAAGTTTGGCTGGGTGGGTGTATTGACGCATGTGAAAAAGAAGTGTTTTAGCCTAGAGAGAAATGAGAAAAAGGCCAGAACCTTTGATGGGAAAATGATTACTTGACCTTGTGTTAATATTCCAAATGTGTATGCTCAGAAAGAGATAAAGGGGTAATATCATAAATAATCATTCTTGATGAATTCTCCTTAATGTTTTTAAAATAAAAGAGCTTGATTTATTATGTAGAGCAGTGGTCGACTAATGTGGGCAGATGTCGAGGTCTATAGAGCATTTGTAAATAATTAAGACAAAGATAATATTTCTTAATTAGAATAAAATATAATGAATTAATATTACAAAACATTACATTTACCAGTTTTTAGCATTAACATTTCAAACACTTTAGTCAAAATTCACCACCCAAAAAAACAACTTGTAAAACAGAATTCAATCTCAGAAATATTTACATATTTATTGCTCTTGCCACTCATAAATACGTACATATACTAACGTTCAGAAGAGGTTAAGTGATGGGGAAATATCATAAATAGTTATCCTTGATGTTTTGGAAAAACACAAAACAAAAAACAAACAAACTTTGATTTACTATGTACAGCAGATTAGTGGTCAACCATACAGGGTTTACAATGCTGATGATTGGTGTTTATAGGGCAGATACATTGTAAATAATTTTATTTAATGAGAGATAGATAATATTCCTTAATTAAGAATAAATATACTGAATTAATATTACTAAAAAACTAAATTTGCCATTTATTAGCATTTCTTTACACAATATTTAGTCCAAATTTACAAAATAACACTTAATTATCATTCTCTAAAGCAGTGATGCCTATTTGTGTTATTCAGTGAAGTAATAAGGATGGATCCTATAATTTCCAAACGCCAAGAGGAGGAGAAACTAATAAAATACACATTGATGCCATTATCATAAACTAGAAAGTGCATTCTTTCATTTCAACAGAGTAAAGAACATGTTCATCTCCCATTATGCTACAGCAACACCAATTTATGAAGAGACATCTATTTAAGGAGGTCATGTACACACTTCTGGCTCGTGCTTTACTCAGCTGGTTGTTGAAGTGCTGCTGTGATGGGAAAGAGGTCACTCTGAACCAGCTGCATTAAGCACAAGAGACAAGGGGGAAAAAATGAATACATAAAAAGCAAATCCACACAAGCAAGCAAGCACATGTGAAGTTCAAAAGCAGTTGTTAACAACTTGCATCCCAACATTGAGTCAACAGCTGTGAGCTAATTAGTCCCAATGCCAAATAGCAAAGACGTTAAAGATCTACACAGACGTGCCTGTGCACAAGCACCACCTACACTTACAAATTAAGGCTCAAAACAGCTGGTGGCACTTCTAAACTCGCCTTAGAGAGTGGGATGAGCTGGTAGCGCTTCTGAATGTGGTGTGCTCACCAAAGTGATAAAAGAAAGATCAAGCCAAAGAAAGCACTCAAGACTCTTTCCCTCTGGGATACTTGCAAAA